CATTTTAGAGTGTCGGCCTAGCTTTGTTAAGGTAAGTGTCTTGTCTAACTCTGTGTGGGCGAAACCACCCCTTTGGATTTTAGATGATTGTGTTATTCGTGTTATGTGAAAGCCGTGTAGGCGAGGTGATGAGTGGGTACACGACCTATATGTGGTATTTGACTGGTTTGGGCCGTTAGGCTTCTTTCATGCAATTAATTGTAGTTATCGTTTCATGATTATATCTTTTGTTGTTAGAGTTGTTCCTATGTGCTTTACTTCAAGTTGTTAGCACATGTTCCATCCTTGTTGTCAAGTTCACCCTTATATGCTAATTGTTAATTGTAATTACTTGTTAATTCATGCTTTATCCGGTACATGCCTTAAGTGTTAATTGATTCTCAGAAATTATGTCTTGGTTTATGGATTGTCATTCCTTGCTATTTGATTTCGTGAGTTATCGTGTAACTTTTTCATCTGTTGTGACTTCTTTGTGTAGCCTTCTTATACCTTTTGATTTTGTGGTACACCGTAGTTGGTTGTAAATTGTTGCCTAATCTATGTTGCTTAGGGAGGGGGTTGCACGCTGCAACAATAATGAAAATGATGATATGTGTGGGATCTGGTTGCACGCCTTAACAGAAATAAAAATGATTATATAAAGGGATCGGGTTGCTCGCCGCAACAAATATGATTATTATTGTGTTAGAATGGGTTGCACGCCGCAACAGATATGATTATTATTGTATGGGATCGGATTGCACGCCGCTACAGATATGGTTATTATTGTATGGGATCGGGTTGCACGCCGCAATGGATGTACATGTTGTAATTGTTGTGATATTTAAGTTATTTCAGGTTGTGATTCTTCTAGTGCATTTTATGCTAGGACGGTTATTGTTGTTTCTTAAATTACTTCATTGTATTTTGATCGTATTTGATTAACTGTTAGTATTCTAATAATGGAACGATATGAACTTCTTGTGTGAGTCATGCATTTAGCATATTTAAATGAAATAATTCTTAAGGTGTTCCCCTTGTGTGTCTTTCAAAGATAAAACTCGCATCTCATTCTGCGTTTTACTAATTTAGATGGTTATTACATTTTTATTATAATTGATTTTCCCAAATTTACTCATCATCTTATTGTTGTGTAATTCACTTAAAAATTGTTATCATGTTTTACTCTAACAAATTTTATATTTAACTCACTAAAAATTTAATTGATGTCTTACTTTGTTTTAAATACGATATTTTACTTCACCTCATTTACTTCTAAACTTAGTTTGTCTGATACTCTATTTGCACAACCTCTCCTTTATTTTACTTTATTTGAATCCTAAATTAGGCTTAATATTTCGTTGACGCTTCACATTGAAATTCGTGCATTGGCAATGATTTGATTGATTGGGTTGTTATTGGTTTTTTCTTACTTGACCCATTCATATTTCATTCGTATCCCGACTATGTTGTTGCTTAATTACTTGGTTGCTTCCCGTTGCCATTCCTGTTCTCATTATTTTTACTATTGATGTTCTTTCCTTGCTAGCTTTATGTATCATTTTGCACAGGTTTACATGACCTGGCCTCGTCAGTACTCTAGCGAGGTTAGACTTGATACTTATTGGGTACCGCTGTGGTGTAGTCATCCTACACTTCTGCACATTTTTTTGCAAATCCAGGTACTTATGATTGAGTTGGTTGGAGACCTATGTTTGCGCTGCTGGAGACTTCAAGGTATACTTGCACGACGTTTGCATGCCCCGAAGTCACATTCTGTTGTATTTTATTTCCATTATCTCCTATTACTCCAAGACAATGATGTACTCCTTTGTATTAGTTACACTTAAGGCATGTGATTTGTACTACCGATTTTGAGATTTTGCAACTGAAGTTGGTTTGACTATGTCGTTACGGAAATTATTTAATTTATTACAGTTAAGATAGTTAAATTCCATTAGTGATCAGTATGTATTAGGCTTATCTAGTTCTAGATACTAGGTGCCATCACGACTTCCTCGGAGGGATTCTGGATCGTGACAGGTATATACGCACGTAAACTAAGACTAGTATGTTTAGAAATAATTGAAGGAAAGAAAAGTTCAACTTTGTCTCTCATGTTTCTCATTTTCAATGGCAAGTAATTAGGCTAACTAGCAACACCTTTTCTTCATCGCCACTGTCGTATAGATATGAAATTAAACTAAACTGCACTACTGAACTACTACTCACAAAAAAACAGGAAAACAAGGAACTTGCTTGAGAATTCTGCTCTGGCCAGCTTCTTCATCCAAATTTCCACCAGGATACAATGTGTGTGTATGTATGTGTTTTTTCTTGGGCGGGGGGTCGAGTTTTAGTCGTGGTTGAAGTGAACTAGCAATAACTTGGATAGTCCTGTTCGCAAGCAATTCGGTTAAGTAATACTCCAATAACTAAACTCCCAGAATAAACTAGAAAGAAAAGAGGAGAACTTTCGGGTCTCTCTTTCATGTTCCTTGGTTATATACTTGTATTCCTTGCCGATAAATGCAAGTATTATTCGTAAACACATAGGTTAACTCCCTTTGGGAACAGCTAGTAGCCTCATATCCGTTGAACCCACCCTAAAAAGGTGTACATACATCGGGTTGGTTCGGGTTTTTCAATTACCAAATCAAATTAAACTAATTGTGTCGGGTTATTAAATGTAAAGACCAAACCAAACCAATAAAAGTCGGATTTTTTAATCTCGGGTTTTCGGATTTTTTTTCCATAAAGTTTTCATAGCACAAAACATAGAATTTGCGTTCCAAATATTTCTTTAATCCTAGTAAGACATAACTATATAAGGTATTTTTCAAAAAAATAACATAAAATATGAGACACGTCATAGCATTGTACTAAAATATTCGACAATAAAGATAATAAAATCGCATAACATAAATAATTTTAATAAGCCATAATAAAAACAAACATAATTTAAAATTACTAGGTTGCTAAAATAAGTACGACTAATAAGTACTACTATTATTTATATGACTAAACACTGAAAAAACCATGAAAAAACTAAAAAAAAAAAAAAAATAGATATCCAACACTATTGCCATTTCTACTACAATTGAATTGAATGTCTTTTGCTAGCACTAATAATGATTTGATTTTGGTTTAGGATTTATTTGCGTTACCAATATTTATAGAATATCAAATTTATTGGAGCATTCAAAACTTATAAGTCCAGGTTTGAAATAATATGTTAAATGATAAAATTATAAAAGAAAATTAAAAAATATTTATAAAATACACTATAATTAGTATTTTTATGTATTAAATATAGTTAAAACTTATATACATGTAATGTCGGGTTGGTTTAGTTTCGGTTTGACTTTTTTTAGTTAAAACCAAATCAAACCAATTATGGTCGCCTTTTTTTTTCAACACCAAACCAAATCAAATCAAACTGTAGTCGGGTTTTTTCTCGGTTTGACTCGGATTATCGAGTTGGTGCAATTTGTCGGTTTTCTTTGTACACCCCTAAAAGACAGTTCAGTTTTA